GCTTTTTCATATAAATATTTATATACATATGTATGTTATTGGTACAGGTTGTTGTCTGTATTTGGGATTACCGACTCTCATCTGGGGATATTTAAGGATGGAGCTTGTAATGCCATGTAGGAATGTTAGATATTTGCTTGCACCTGTGACATCAGAGGATTGGTTTCGCTATAATGCGCTTTTCGGGGAATGTTCCCCCGTTACCATGGTTGCAGTTCTATTTATCTAGTTGTATGCACTTCAGAAACTCCATGCCATTGACGAAGTCATGAATGACGTAACGTGCGTAGGCAAATTTACCTGACGTGGAGGTGGGTGGATTTGTATCAGCATGGAAGCATGTGCAGGGCTGGCAGTGTCCTGGATTCTAACATTCTGCTTTTATTTCTGGAGGTTTGGTAAGTAGGATTTCAAAAAAAGATTTTAACTGTTTATGATTGGTGTGCACTATGGTCTGTGTTTCTCTTCATATGGACTACCATTTTGAGGGGAGAGTAACTTGGATCGGGTATTTGAAGGACAGCTACTGACAGCCACTAACCATAGGGATCGTAAAGGGATCCGTGCTGTAAAGACCTACTGAGTGGGTCTCAATAGAAGATGAGCACTTCACTGAGAGGGGAGTTTTCACAAAAGTCAAAGGACATGGTGGAAGATTTGGCTGTGTGTTATTTCACATTTCAGTCTGGTCACTTTGATCTCTTTGCATACTAGAAACAGACTGTTAGTGGACTTTACACCTGGCAATATTATTGTATCGATATGTTCTGTCACATTGTTGAACACATGTAGTTGTAGTATCGTTTAGCTACATTGTTTTTTATTTTTAGCTTGGCACATTGTTATTTGTTTATTATAACCAGCATGGGGTCTGAGACCTTATGGAGGTAAGGTGTTGATTACATTTGCATGATTGGAGCTAGCAGGTCTTATTAAGCATCCCAGAGAGAAGTGTCAAAACAGCATTGTATGTGGCAGGCAATAGATATCTCACTAGAACCAAAAGGGAAAATGGAAGCGCCACGGCCAGGGGGAAGATATGTTGATTGCTGGTGTGGTCCGATAGCTTGACGGTGATGTGGAGGCGAACAAATGTGGTGCTTCCGGGTTCAGGTGGTTCGGGATTGGAGGGAAAGGTGGGGAATGGTGGAGAGGTGAGAAATCACGAATGAATAAATCACCTTGTGTGGGGGAGAGATGGAGAGATGGATGCTGCGTGCGGGTGGAGGTGGGCATGCAAATCGGTAAGGGAATGTGGTGATCACACACAGAGGTCGGTGCCGGCCCGAGACCCTGGGTGTGCCAGACTTGGTTTGCTGGCTATGTGTTTCAAAGCTTAGCGCTTCTTTATCAAGCCTGGTTAGCAGCTACAGCACTTCCACCGTCGATTACATCACCTCATTCAGAACCTCTGGAAGCCTCGCACCAACTCATGAAACCACGCAGGACCTCAGGATCTTTACCACCACCTTCGCCGATGACATCGCATCATTCCTAACCAACCGTGATTTATTCATTCGTGATTTCTCACCTCTCCACCGTTCTCCACCTTTCCCTCCAATCCCAAACCAACCAAACCGTGAAGTACGCCTGTACGCCTCCACATCACCGTCAAGCTATCGGACCACACCAGCAATCAACCAAGCTACACTGATCGGTTCAGAACATCCCTTACCCCCCGGTCGTGGCGCTTCCTTTTTCCCTTTTGGTTCTACGGTTACACGTGCCGCCCCCCCTGGTCCGTACAATCAGGAAGCTGCACACCAATACCACCGCCTGCTCACAACCCCTTTCCCTCCTTTCTCCCTCAAGATCACACCCCCTTTAGAGCGCTGAAATTCTAGACGGCCCCTCCAACTTTTAAATAGATATCTCACTCCCCATTCCCCCCACCTCTATTCACGCTTTTACCTACATCTAAAGGAAAAGGTCACTTCTTTGAAGACAGTCAAGTATGCATCCTAGACCGGGAGGAGGACTGGTTCAAAATAGGCGAAAAAGAGGACATTTATGTTAAAATGCTGAAGCCAAGCTTGAACAGAGGTGTGTGTGTGTGTGTGTGTGTGTGGGGGGGTG